ATTACCACCCAGATGAGTCAGGGCGGCAGTCGTACAGTCAGTAAATTGCCTGTGCAACACTTGCTTCACCGTATGGGCTTTGAGAACCACAGACTCTACCACTGCTCAATGCCAGCCATCAGGCTGCATATGTTGCCTGAAAAAAAGAGTACGAAAACCAGTAGCATGGAGTGACGAGTCTCCATTCCGATTACTTAACGCTGAAAGGAAGCTGAGAATATGGCATCAGGCTCATGAAGCCATGGATCCTGCATGTCAGGTTGGAACTGCACAAGGCCATGGTGGCTCGGTCACGGTCTGGTGTGTTTTTCTTTGGTACCTGTACCAACCTTTCCCAATGCGATTTGATACATAGAGCTATTTGGCGATCACCTCCATCAATTTATGTTGCCCTGTCATTCAAACAGGAATTGAGTATTCTAGCAAGATAACTGCATCTCTCACAAGTCCCAGTTGGCCACTGACTGTTAGATGAGCATTCCTCTGATTTCTCTGTCATTAACTGGCCACACAATTTAGAAGCCTAACTGGCCTAATTTAAATCCTATTAAGCACCTTTGGGATGTTTTGAAGAAGTGTGTGAAAGCACATCACACAACATTAGCGACCCTTCCTGAATTATGGACAGCTCTTAGTTGATGTTTGGCGAACCATTCCCAAGGAACACCTCAGTAAATTTTTTGAATCTATGCCTCATCGTTTGGCAGTCGCTATCAAGGCCAGAGAAGGCCCAAATTATTATTGACTTTCTATTCCTAATTCAGTGGCACTTCAAGGTATAATGTTTCATTAATTCAACCAGCACCTACCAGCGGCCAAGTGGTAAAAGTCACTGAACTTTGGTAGTTTTATCCGGGTTCAAATCCTGGTGAATGAGCTGGCTGCATGGGTGTTTTTGTGGTTTTCCCCATGTATAACCTGTATACAAGCCAGTTTAAATTAGAAATTTCCCCACAAAGGCATCCTTATTAGGTATATAACCCTTAAGTACTTTGCTATAAACAAACTACGCTGCGAGTACCACAATGCCAACAACACCTTTTAATGCCTTAAAAATTTGTTTTATGTTATTTCATTCACAATACTTGCTTTTACTTAGAATCAATGAAAGTCTATGAACATGCAAAAGCAAATATTAAAGAACATAAAATCTATCAAAAGTCATAAGCAAAGATAAAAATATTATGTAGTCGATTCAAGGAAGAGTATCACATCAATCCATATTCATTAATTCTGAAAATTTCATATAATTATATTATTTTTTAAACAGAATGTTGAATAATTACCTCGTTATGGCTTAAATAATTAATGAATTAAATATTCTGTAAGGCATGCAATGAATGATGCATGCCTTACAGAATATTTAATTCTATATAGATAGTTATTCTTCCTTTCCAAGACAAAATAAATATTTCTAACCCCAACATCATTTTGAGTAAATAACTATATAAATTCATACAGTTTAGTCTTTTTGTTCATTAATAACAGCCAAATCTTAAACAGGTTGCTACTTAATACAATGCATACTTTACAATAAATACTTACATATCAAGTAACTTTAATTTTAATGTTTTTAACTTTTTCAATACAAATTTAAGATAAACTATATTATTCATCACACACAATAAAATTAAAAGCTCTTTTTAAAGTTATTCTTAAAACATATCTATATAAGAAACTCTCTAATATAAATAAATATATATATGCACAATATAAATATATGCACATATAATGTAATACAAATTTTTACTAATCATACTAATAATATCAAATAATAATTATAACAAGAATATCAGCTCCCTATATATCCTTGAAACACAGTCATACAATTTAAGAGGGAAGATTTTTACTCATTACATTTTCTATCAAAAACAGCTCTTAAATATAAAAACATGTTCGAATTATTTTTCAGATATGTTTAATTTGTTTTAAACAACAGCAACAAATACTAAAATTTCCATGCTGTATTCTGAAGGAACAATCGACACAGAAGTAACAGCCTTCGGTATTTCAACAATTTATAAACCTCTCGTTTCTTGGTTATTTTTAATAATTTCAAGCATTAAACTGAATATTGTATAACAAAAATTCAGAAAAAATGCCATACTCTGTTATTTCCTAAATATTTTGAAAAAAGTAGTTTTGGGAAGAGGGGAGAGTAGAACTGCCCTGCCATAAATACCCATCTTAACATTTTTATTTAAACTTCATAATTAAAAAAATTATTTTACATTATTTGGCAATTATCTAACAATTTGTGCTTTAAATTTTATCAACAGATGCGGCTGATCTTACGACATAATCTAAACTCGCTGCCTGCTAGTCATGAAGGCGCATATATGTTAATGTCTGTGAATTGGGAGCGGCAGGAAAATAACTCAGCAATCTTTTGAAAGATGAAGCTGCTGCCATAAAAAAAAATTTTAAAACTGTTTTTAACAATTCTAGAGAACAGAATAAATTAGCATTTAGTTATACGTCAATTAAGATACCTGAAGGGAGGAGACAGCATCGCATCCCTATTAGAAACATTGACAATCACAGAAAATGTTAATGATCATTTAAATTTTGTTGCTGATGAAATAAGTTAAAATATCAGACAGAAAAACCAAACATATTTAAAGAATTCTTTGTGTGATATTTCTGCCAAAAATTTACTTCCTCCATATATAAAAAATTATTTCACACATGTCTCCTATTATATCAGTTGATACAGAAAGAATGTTTTTACAATTAATATATTTTATCCAATAAGACGATGAAGTCAAGTATAGGAGGAGAGGATTAATAATGTATAACATTAATCATGTATGATTTTAAAGCTAAGATTTTATTTCTACATGATTTTTAATTTATTTCTACGTTTTTTGCATAGAAATTTCGACAACGCATAAAGGTCCAACACCGATCTCATGAAATGTAGGTAGTTTAACTCGGGTTCAAATTTTGCCAAATGGAATAGCTGATTATGAACGCTCATTATTTTCCTCGTGCATAATGTGAATATGAGACAGTCTTCCTTGCATGGTTTGCTTTGTGGTTTTCTCTATGAGTAACATGAATATAAGCAGTGGTGTCAGAAATTTCTCAACTAAAATAACAAGACAAGAATAAAAAAGAAGCACATGATGTCAAAAATCATGCTATTTTTTTGTAATGTCATAAGTACCTGATTCCTACGACCTTTGATGATATTTTAAATGCTGTCTCTGCGAGTTCTGCACTGTAACTAGACTCTTGGTCATTTCATTATGCACATTTTTTGACAAAAATCTTATAGCCAGATTGCTAATTTATTGTTGTTTGAATTTGCATTTCTTCTTTTAATTAATCTTCGTTAATAATTTTTTATATCCTTTGTTACTTTTTTCTTTACATTCTTTGTTACATTTGACTGTTAACACTGCTGCACTGATTCTTTTGAGTTGGCAGTTTTTTTAATTCAATGAAGTAACATTTTACTTTTACAATGAGATATTTCTTTTCAGTTACGAACAAATATTTATGCCTCAGCTTCGAAAATTTTGACTCTTGTTTTTAGTCACTTTATATCAAGTATTCTAAAAATTTTACAATTAAAAATTAATCAATTAGTGTTTGAAATAAAATAGAATACAGTGAAAGTGACAACCATCTATTTCACACATACAGTTTTGTTGATCCTTTACCTGACTTCATTAAATCAATTTTATGTGCACTCAGTTCTTATTTGCATATTTTGTAATAAGCTTTTGTCTTGTTTGTTTTCATTCTTTCTACCCAATTTCAAACATGAAAATTTTAAACTTTCAAATTTTGAAAGGTAGTGCTGAATTTTTTTTTTCCAGATTTCTCATTAATCACATTTTTATTAACACAGCAGCTATAACCCAATTTTGTAATCTAGCTTACTACGCAATAAAATATTAAACAGAGCAATTGGGAAAACATGAAAACACGAATGATTAGTGCTGAAAATTGCGTGCACATGCTACACTCGAGCTATGATTACACAATTGCCAGTTGCCAACATTCATTTAAGCACATATAAATTGTTCTTATTATAGATTAATTTTATAAATACATAATCATAACACATATGGATTTTCTAATATATTAATAAAAATTAAAAGTAGCACATGGAATTGATGGAGTAGTCGCAAATTCTCATAGAAATTTTTAAAGCACAGATTTGTCAAAAACAGTAAATTTGTGAAAAATTGCATGACCTGGCGACACAGAATAGAAGCAAGTTTCCCTCAGAAAGTCCTCTGCCAAGGCATCCCTTATCTTAGGAATACAGCCCTCACGTGTTTTTCATATACAATAACTAATAATACGTATTTAATTTATTTTTAAAAGAATTAAAGTCTTTTTTTTTTTGTTTGTATAAAGTTAAGATATGCATTAAAAATACTTATTAGATGTATTTTAGCATTTTATTTTTGTTTAATATTGTCTTTTTCTATTAGACTGATGTTAAAGGGTGTCAAGAAACATTTACTAGGTGTATCTTAGCATTTTATTTCATTTTATGTCCAAGAATAAAAATTGCTTTTCTATATTAATAAAAATTGCTCTATATTTTATGAATCATAAAAGCGTTTAAAAAATACCTTTTCCTTCTGTGAAGCTAATTGCAGTCGAAATCCCAGTTTCTGCTGACATAAGTAAATTTTCCATGCATATTCAAGTTAAATGGCGAACACATTATTCACAAATCCTGCATTCAGAGAGATAAAACCAACATCTAGTATCTCAAAATGAACAAAATATAAAATACTGAAAATTTCTACACAAAAACCTTAATATAATACTCTTTTCTATTTAAAGTGCATATAATTTTTTTGAATTAATAATTTTAATAAATATATAATTGCTGTTAATAAATAAAAGCTGATTATTAAAAAAATTTTGCTAAATGTACTGGTAATAAATCAAAAACAAGCAATTCAAGGAGAAGAAATAGCTATTTTGATTAGTTAAAATTCTAGATTAAATAATGTACTAAACAACTAAAATTACAAAATAAATACACTTTATATTTCTACATGACAGTACAAATGTTAAAGTAGGTGAGGTAGAGTCAATGCAGGTAAGAGTGGGTCAACACAATTCACCCATAAGTTAGCACAAGTACTATGATAGTTCCGTCCACCATATGACAGTTTCAGATTTTCATCTTTGTTATAATTTTTGATATCTACGTTTAACAGACAAAGGCCACAAGCTTTAGTATTATCTTCTGTGTCTGGTCGTAACACACCATTGGAGAAATCCAGTGACTTTTCTTCAGGCTGAAAGGAAAATGGTTATTAAATAAATGATTGCATAAATGATTTTTTAAAGCACTAACAAGCTTTGAACTTAAGATGCTTTTATATATACAACAGTTTTGACATTTAGACAGTAAATAACTTTTTTTTTTTTTTAAATACTGTATTTTTTCTTTTTAGGAATTATAGACAACACTATAATTTTATAGTTGAAAATTTATAATTAAAAGATTCAAAACCAAGCAGAGGACAAAAATTGTTCTAATTTACTTTAAAAATCAATGCTGTTATTTTGACATAATCAGCATACCACAACTTCTTTCGGTGATACAATAATTTATCCACAGATTCAAAGCTTTTAGACAAGCAATGGTTCTTACATAAGAAATTCTTTAGCAATTGGGCTGCTTCTCAATTTTTGAGTTTTAAATGACCTTCATTGATCGCCAGATTTATTAGCTGCAGATTCCGCCATCCCCATAAAACTACTCAAAAGGAAAGGTTTTAAATTATGCAACAACTTAAAACCAATATTTAATAAAAAAATTCAAAATTCTCGACCCGAAATTCTCACAAGTGTTACAGAGAATCCTCTGGATAGGGGTTAACAATGGCCACCATCCGCAGATATTTTAAGAACGTAAACATATTTCCATAAATTATATTTACTATTAAGAATGGCAAAAAATAGATACTGTTGAAAGAAAAATATTTTGAAGCTAAAATTTTATGACAGTCCAGAATTATACTTTGAATAACCCCATGCTTACCACACTAATGTGTAATATGCTATCATATATCGTTTCCACGTGAATAACAGTGATGAAAGCGTATTGCATACTGTGGGTTGTCTATAGCTGTAAATACACTCTGCAAAGAAATTAAGAGAATTTTCATATTTGATCTACGATCTACAGAACTACTTGACAGATTTTAATAAATTTTGGTGTGAACACAGGTTGATATAATACAAACAAAATAAACATTCAATAATTATAATAGAGGAGAGTTATTACACTCATGGGAGTCTGAAACAGTGGTTGCAGACAACACAAAAGAAATGAGTTAATAGGGGGTATGTTCCCTCTTACAGAAATACAGGTCTTGCAGCATGATGTCATACTGGAAATAAGTGTCATACTGTGGCAATTGATACCACTCATTCAGCAACACTTTTTTCAGTTCCTGGATAGTTCTCGGAGAAGGGTTGCGAGTTGCAATTGCCCTCCCCAGAGCATCCCAGACATGTTCTATAGGGTTGAGGTCTGGAGACCTGGCTGGGCAACCCATCCGGCGAATATCCTCACTTTCGAAAAATTCATTGACTAGAACTGCACCCAGAAAAGGTGAGCATATGGTTGCAAGACCTCATCCCTATACCTCACACCAGTCACACAGCCTCTGTCAAAGGCGTGGAGAGGTGTGCGGCCATCCAACATGATGCCTACCCAGACCATTACACTACCATTTGACTGTTGATTTCGCGGACATTGGAGGGTAGGTAGTGGGTCCCTGGGTCTCTCCATATGAAAGTGCAGCGAGAATCTGTTGTTTAGACTAAAACGGGACTCATTGGTGAAAAGAACGGTTGCCCACTGCTCCGTACTCCAATCGCTATGCTGTCTGCACCATGCTAATTGGACTCTCCTGCCGTAGACCTGAGTGGAACGCAAACAGCCAGTCTTCTGACAAAACAACCCTCTCTCATTGTCTTTTGGAAATAGTCACCCTTGTTACACGGGTTTCTATGGCTGCATACAGGTTCCTAGAGAGCTGAGAAGCTGTAGCCCCTCTGTTAGGCCTTGCTAAAATGGACAAATAGCAATCTTCTCTGGCTGTCGTGGCTTTTGGACAACTTTGCCCTGGCGTTCTCTCGATGGATCCAGTATCCTGGAACTGTTTCCATAGGTTACACACGACGCTGAATGTTAAATTAAACTCTCTGCATATCTGGACTTGCGATTGGCCTCTAGCCTCACCACAATTCACCATCGCATTTCCTCATCTAAACGTTGGTGGTTACTCATTTTTACTATTCCAATGTGAATTTAAACGATTGCTGCAAGATAACACCAAGAAATTCCCCGAGGTGTGCTAGCAGCGAATGCAATTCGCCTTATCCTCCATGTGCTTATAAAGCCTGTTTTTCTGCTAGCTCCACCTACACACATGTGTAAGCTTACATATTTGCCACACAAGATTTGCATTTTTATCTAGAAGCAGTGGTTTTTCCTTCAGTTCAGTTCTTTTCATGCAATTTCATAAAATATGCAAATTCTCTTAATTTATTTCACCAGTGTAATAGGTCTTACAAGCAACATAAACAACTTTGAGCAAACTAAGGAGAAAAATAGAGATAAGGAGTTTTTTTTTTTTTTTTACAAATGAGGAACTATGTAGATCACCAGAACTGGTCACAAACAATTGAACAGAAAACTTAGCAATGCAGAATAGACCCATGACTCTCAATCCAAATGATTCACAGCTACTCATAGCTTCATAGTCATAAGGATGGAGGATTTCCAGTTCTACTTGAGCTATGCTTGAAATCTGATGATGATCTGTCAACGCCAGAATTACAACATATAAAACATAAACAAAAATAATATTTACAGACAATAATTAGTGGATATTAAATGAAATACACAATAAATTAGTAATAAAATAAATACCACTGCAAAAATACACAAAAAGCCTAATTATATGCAAATAATTACAAACACAGTAGATTTATGATAATCTGTATAATTTGGGACCAGGGATTGTGTGGATTAGAGAATGTTTCAGATTACAAATCACACCTTCTTCAGTTCGGCTTACTTTTTTCTTCGCAATTTTTACAGTAAATTTGAATTATGTGCATACAAATAACTTATTTAATCAAAAAATTTTTACATTCTCAAATTATAAAATAATAAACAATTTACAGAATTATAATATTTACAAGAATCTGCTCCAACATAATCTTCTCCAAATTGAACCTTGAACCTAATTCTGCGATTATGTTCTCTAGATGCACAATGATACATGTAACACTAAGCTGTATACAAAAGGTGGTAGAACTGAAATTTTGGATTAATGAAACATTCTATTGGCTTAATTTCTGTGTTCTTTTAGCCCATTTTTCTTCACTACATTTCCCATTTTTGAAAACAGAAAAATATCTGTTACGTTTTTAAGCATCTGCTTTATTTGTCACTGATGTAAACAGACTAGTTATGAGGTGCATTTAAAATGTACTACCCCTTTTAAAGGTGTACTGTTAGAAGGTATTTTTAAAAAATGGTCAGGTGATTTAGTTAACAACGATTAGCCTACAAGGGCCAGAAGTAGTGGCCATCTCATTACGAAAGCACCTAATAGTCCAGAAGTAGTGGTCACTGTTGCCTCCTAAGAAGAGATGGACAGTTCTAACCATCCTTCTCCAGGATTTGAACCAGGGCCCATCACTACCGCAGTCAGGGTCACTAACCCCTATATCAGCTAGAATGTTGTAAAAATTTTGGATAAATACATTCTTTACATATACTAATCATATAAACTCAAAATTAATTTAAAAATGCAGCTGAATATATATATCAGAGATGGCCAAATTGCGGCTCGCGAGCCTGATATGGCTCTCGCAAGCAATTTGTGCAGCTCATGCACATAAAATATATGTATGAAATATGGTAAACTAAAACTATTCAGTGTCCAAAAAGAAGTAATTAATTAGTTTAGACTCTTTTTACAAAGTTATCAGGGATTTCTTTCTGTTTAAAACCTCTTACACTACTTCTATAATGAGGTAAATATGAACTCGTGGCTTTTAGAAAATCTAGATGCGGCTCTCTAACATTCCTGAATTCAAATGTGCGGCTCTCACTGACATGAAGTTTGGCCAATCCTGATATATATAGAGAAAATAATAAACATTTTATAATTTCATGCGAGATAATAGGGATTTACCCAACGTGAAATATTTGTAGAGATTCACGATACATGTTTGCTATTAAAAAAAAAAAAAAAATCAAATCAAAGCTTTGAGATTTTTATATTACGCCCAAAAGTCTTCCCCCCCCTTTTTTTTTAACATTTTGTGTGTTACCTTTATTTATTAAATATCATGTTCTTTGCACTTAAACCATAAAATTCATTTCAACAGCAATATCACAAAATATTTAAAAGAACATATCGTTAGAATTTCCAATACAGTCTCTCGCGCTGGAGATAAATCCCCCATATAGTGTTGCCATTGCTCGCTTTGAAATCTTTGAGTTTCTTAACTAAAAACTCAAATGCTTTACAAAATATGAAATAGCTAATAAAACAAATTCCAAATTAGGGCTTCCAGATGCCCATATTCGGGTGGAGATATACATTATTCAAAATTTGATGGCTTTAAGTACAGCCGTTTTATCACAAAGCAAGAAACATACATACATTTATGCAGATTCTTCATTATTTAATTTCTTCAAATATAATGCAGGACTCTAACATTTGGTGGCAACAATTTGAAAAGTGATTCACCGCTTATAGTGGTTCAACGTAAAATCGCAAAACGAAAAACAATAGTCCTTTACGAACAAAGTACCTTGGGTCTTTAAAAAAAAAAAAAAAAAAAAAAAAAAAAGGAGAGGTTCTAATATTTGGTGGCAACAATTTAAAAAGTGATTCGGTGTTTACAATGAAATAACGCAAAATGCCAAAACGAAATTAATAGACCTTTTAGGCAAATTCTCCTTTGGGCTTTAAAAAAAATGGCTTTTATGACATTTCTTGTTTTATTCATTTTCTACTGTGAATTGCACTTTTTATGCACTCAACTAATGGAATTTTTACTTATCCAGAATTCGGCATTTTCCAAGCAATTTGGATAGTCGAGCTTTTACAGTAAACAATGAATGTTATGAAATGGACAGAGTTTCAAATGCAAATGTCAGAACAAATATAATCCTACGTAATTCATGATGAAGAATTTATATATATATATATATATATATATATGAAAGCCTTCAGATTTTACATTATGCCCAAAGCGGCTTTTTTTTTTTTTAATGTTTTATGTGTTACCTTTATTTATTTAATATCATGTTCTTCGCACTTAAACCATAAAATTCAGTTCAACAGCAATATCGCAAAATAATTTTAAAATGAGCATATCTTTAGAATTTTCAATACATAGTCTCGCGCGCTGGAGGTAAAAATGTCCTTCCCGTACAGTGTTGCTTTTTCCTTGCTTTGAAATTTTTGAGTTTCTTAATCAAAAATTGTTTAATGTCTTACAAAATATGAAATAGATAATAAAATAAATTCCATATTAGGGCTTCCAGCCACCCATATTCACTGGAGGATTACGTTATTCAAAATTTGATGGCTTTAGGTACCGTTGTTTTATCACAATGTGAAAAACATACATACATTTAAGTAGATTCTGCATTATTTAATTTCTTTAAATATAATACAGGGATGTAATAGTTGATGGCGACAGTTTGAAAAGTGAATCAACGCAAAATGCTAAAATGACTTCTGGGCTAATGCCCTTCGGGCCTATCTATATATATTAAAAAAAAAAAAAATAAAAAAAATAAAAATAAACCAAAGAGTGCAAATGGGAAATCAATTGCTCCCTGTATCCTGGGTGATTAAAAATGACTAAATGATTGGTGGGTTTGACCATTCCCAATGAATGTTTAATGAGCAAATGTTCAGCCATTTGGATAAAAGTATTTATTATATTAGATTGATCTAACTTTTGGACATGATCAGCATGGTGAAAAAAATTATAAATAGTAAAACTCGAGCCAAAACAAAAAATGCTTTACCTTTTATAAAAACATATACTTCACAAAATATGAAAATATTCTAAATAATTGTACAAGAGGATGGGAATTATAAAATTTTCAAAACTTACCATGAGAGCTGAACCAGCCAAAAAGCCACAAATTGTGTTCCAAGCTTCATCAGCTTCATTCAGTAAATTGAGAATAGGAGCTGTCTGCTTGCTGGAAGATTTGGATGACAGAGCAATGCGGCACACTACTCTGTACACTTCGATGACATCTAAAGCATGAAGATTATAATTTCATATACATATTTTTGGAAACAACATATGTATGGACAGAAAATAAAATAAAAATTGAACATGCTTAAAATCTACAAGAAAAGATAAGAATATTAATGGCAAAAAAAATATCTAATACGACTTTTATAAAAATAATGGGTTCCCATTGATATCAAATTTTTAACTGCCCCAATTTTCCACAATCAAACTGAAGAATTTCCCTGAAGCATATTAAGCTTGCTAACAAATTAAGGTTATATATATGAAAACTTTTACGCACTTTCTCAAAATTAAACCGAAATATTTTGAACCCTTTCAGGACAGGTATGTAACTTGTGCATCGGCTACCAACATGATCTCATGGTCAGGTGTGTCATATGAATCACTATTTAAAATGACTTTCAAAGCAGATGTATTATATGTGAACTTTTAGATAAGATGATTTTTTGTTACTACTAAATGTAGCTCTACATCTGTTATGGTCAAATTTATAGAGACCGCAGAATGTTGATCCATATTCCTTTACAGTATTTTTAATTTTTTGTGTTTTGTTTTAGAATGATAGCAGAAAACTTGGAGATGAGCATCATAAATAATCACAGTTGGCTACTAACTGCATCAGCTGATATAAACACATGGGGGTGCTCTCGATGCTTCTGTATACTTTTGTTTTTATTTTTGGCCATCTGGGAATATATGTCCTATTGTTTTAAACATTTTACTCATTCCTTTTAGAATTTGGTTAGCACTGAGGTGAATATTTTGTGTATCATTCAGCAAAACCTTTTTTTTTTTTTTTTTATACTTCAAACGGCAAGGAAAACACAATGATAAAATTTTCAAATTAATGCTGATACTAACTACATGAGCATTCCTTTCATTATGTGCCAAAGATTGAAACAACAATTTAATTTATGAATTTTTTCCCCCGAAGTAAGACGTAACAGCATAAACTGCTTGTTCCCACAAGACATTGAATCCTGTTAGAGTGCCGTCCTGAAAGAATGGTTCAGTGATTGAGCAGCCCAACAAAAAAGGATTAAATGTGAAGCACAGAATTCATATCAGAAGGGCAATAACTCTTCTATACAGAAAAGGACTGAGTTATATATCTAAAGAGAACAATGAATAACAATTTATTAACAGACGGAGAAGAAGGATATGATACATTGTTTCAGATATGAACTGAGTAAAACAAAAATTACAGTACCTCTTTACTTGTTTCCTCTTTTAAAGCTATGACATTTGTTTATAAATTACCTTTTAAAACTTGAACTTTTTATTATTTAAGAGCAATGACCAGCACTTTAAAAAAAAAAAAAAAAAAAAAAAAAAAAAAAAAAAAAGGGGGGGGGGAGACACTTTTGAGTAATTCAAACTTATTTTTGACTTTCTTAAAAAAGTTTTTATTAACTTTCTTTGACCATTTTTCATTTCCTGACTTGAAGGGAATTCTGATATAGACATCTACAGATGTATACCTGATTTAAAAATTAAAATTCAGAAATAAAACTGGTCACATTTTAACTTGAAAAAGAGTATGTCATATAAAATTTAAATATACTTTTTAACATGAATTTTATAGTACAATATGACATACACGATTAATACTTATTTTTATGTGACTGATAATAATTTCTTATGATCTATACTTAACATAAAACTTAGATGCAAACATAGTTTAAACATCATTATAAATTAGCAAAATACACTTAACAAGTTTTTGCAAATGAACTATTTTGTTTCAGTGGAGATACATGATTTAATATTAAGTTTAGAAAGGTGCTTAAATACCTGACATGCTACTGTGTTTCATTTTCATTTCATAACAAAACAAAAAATTGAAATATGAAGTACAAATTGTTTAATTTCTTAAAATTTTAAAGATTTTACATCTCTTTCCATTTTTTTCAAACAATATTTACATCACATTACACACTTCATCGACAGTTTCTAAAAGTAACACTTTACTAACTTTTAACATAGTTCTCTCCTTCTTCAGAATTAAGCACTTCATTACAAACAGAGCTACAACTCATTTGGTTAAAAATCTTTTTTGTTGTTAGTAAAATGTCTACCGAACTTTGCAAACAGCGCAACCAACTGCTGATATGTTGATCTTCATCTTGCTTCTACGAAAAATATAAAAACAGTCTATTATTATTTACAAAATAATAATAATAAAAATTCTGAGAGCTTTTGAGATTTCATATTATGCCCAAAAGGGCAGCCCCCCCCCATTTACACACACGTACACATTTTGTGAGCATTTGGGCTAAAAATATTTAAAACTCGATCTTTAGAATTTCCAACAGACATTCTCACATGCTTGAGATGAAAATGTTTTAATCCATTCAGTGTTGCTACTGCTCGCTTTAAAAGCATAGAGATTTTTTTTAAAAAAAAAGTTTTACAAAATATGAAATAGACAGTAAAATACACTTTAAACTCAAAATTCAGGCTTCAAATTGCTCATATTCAGGTGGAGAACTACGTTATTCAAAATTTGATGGTTTACAGCTTGATTTTTTTTCATATTAGAAGAAACATATATACATTTATGCAGATTCATCATTATTTAATTTCTTTAAACATAATTAAGGGCGATAGCTGGTGGAAACAATCTGAAAAGGTGATTCAACACTTTTAGCAGTTCAACACAAAACACTGTTTCAAGATTAATAGTCTTTTTGGGCTAAAAATTTAGCAATCAGAATATGATTGCTAAATGCCTCAATGCCTTTTTAATACCTATATTATTTCATTAAAATTATCTTCACATAATTATATTGAGCTTTTTTTTTTAAAAAGCAAACAGCTCCTTGATTTCCTTATTTTTGTGCATATAGTAAGAATAAATTTCTAACCTATAAATGTAATATCTGTTATGAATATAAAATATTCACAACACCTACATATGTGGCATGAATTCTGAAAATAAAAACTCTTATTTTAATGAAATTTTCCAAATTATATCTCATTGTAAAATTTATGCAGACAAAAAACATAGCATTTAAACTGCATACTTTTTGGACTTGTCAAAGTTATATTATTTCTTACTATCGTTACTGAATGATTTTGCTTATTTTCATTAATACTCCTAAGCAGATTGTTTGCTTTATACCTGAGTTTAAAAAGCATATATGACGATGACAAAGAATATTACACACATGGAATCATGATTGAGAAATTTTTATTTCCGATGGCAACATTTCAGGAAAGGTACTACTAAAGTTAATATTCTAATACACTCCTTTATATCATAAAAACTGAAATCCACAAAGTTAAAAAAAAAAAAAAAAAAAAAAAAAAGAAAGAAAGAAAGAAAGAAAGATATCAAACAACATATTATTTAAAATGAAGCTATTTAAAAAAAAAAAAACATTTTTCAGTTGACTGTCCTGAGTCACCATTTCAAAAACATAACAGCCTCATAAAATCTAATAGTTTTTAAAATTGTCTTTCTGTGGTCACTCTTACAATGAAAATCTTTCTGGAATGCCAGTAAGAGTTTGCTAAGACATGATGCTGTTATGTTTTTGCCAGCAGAATCACTCTTATGATAGAGTAGAAGACCAGAAATCCACAATGCTTAGGACCAGAGATTGCGCAGATTTCAAGACAGAAAAGATAAATCATAATTTAGACTACAAGTGAAAAATAAATCAAGACATTAAGGATATGTACTTACGTATTAACACAACCACCTTAGTAGAAATTGCCAAATTGTCAGAATGTGCCATATCTTGACAATCATTCTTACAGCAACCATGCTAATAACAATCCTTCAGTCAAGTAACGCTGCCATTTTTGTATGCGCTCTTTTTGTTATATTCCAAGTTCCAATGAATTTTATAAATAAATCGTGATATTTTTTGCCTTTCTTTTAAAATATGAGCTTGCGGAATTTAACAGTAATGGAAGAAACTGCAGTAAAATTTCTGCAAGAATACAGAATTTTGCTGAAAGTTTTTTAAAGGGGTGTTTCCTAGATAACCACTATTGCTGAGGTTTGCATAAAGCTGAGTCTCCTTAATTCGAAGTGAAAACAGATTGATATGTACATCTGGAGAAGAATTGCGAAGAAATAAAAGATTTCAATGTGTTTTATTTTTTTAAAGGACTACGTCATCTTTATTTAATAATTAAAATCTGTATTTTAAATTGCTAAAGGTATGTTTTTTCTTCATGGCGATAATGTTTACCAATATACAATAAATATCGATAGTTTGGAATCTTCCTAAAATAATGTGTGAAAAACGCCAACTTGCACCCAAAAAGTAACTTCTACCTTTCCATCTGTACAAAATCACTAAATTGTGCTAAGGTCGTTGTGTTAATATACAAGTACAAAAGGACATATAGAATAAGGTGAATGAAAATAAAGGACATTAATAAAGCATAAAATATTTAATTTTGTTTTATGTTTCAAACATATTTCTGATAGAGGTTCATTTTAAAACTTTGGGGCTGTGTTTCCCAAACTTTTGACATATATGTTCCCTTTCTATAATTTTCGTAACGCTCAGTATCCCTCGCCTCCCCCCCCAAAAAAAAAGAGAGAAAGAGAGAAGATGCATTTTAATAACAATAAAAATATATTTATATTTTATGACATACATAATAAGAAAAGATTATTATTCACAATAAAATAAAAATAAAAGTTAAATTATAAATAACATTTATTTGGATTAATGAGAAGGATGAAATTGTGCTGAGATGACAAATTCCCTGGTTGTTAATTTTAAACTTAGATGCGGTTCCACATCCAATAGTATGTTCCCTTTTTTCAGCATAATGTCTACAAATGCTGAAAAAACAACTTAACATAAATATGAAGTTGGAAAGGCAAGATGTATTTCGAACCTTTCCTGTTAAAATACACTCCTTATAATTAAGACACAATAACACGCCAGACAAATACTAATTCAGAAGTCAAACAAAAATCAGCATTATATTTTCAAATTTTCACAGGACTAGTTTCGATGGTTTTACCGAAAACCTCCATCCTCAGCTGCAAAAGCGAAAAAAAAAAAGTTTTACTCCTTATGTTTATGTTTCAAGAATCCGTCTGAAGCCAATTCCAACAACTACTCTTCTTCCGCATGTGCCTCCAGAGTAAGTTTTTTTTTAAAAATTATACAAAGTCACAAATCTCTTGCTCTGTAATCCTGCTCTGTTGTTCTAAAAGTTTTAGGTATTTTCCACTGTTGGAACAGTTTTCTTGCTGTGTCGAGTTCAAAACAGAACCATTAATTTCATCATCAGTCATCTGATATACCAGTGTTGGCTTACTATGGACAAATCATCCATTCAACAATATCTTCTTCTTGCAAAGCCTCCTCATTTGTTCTTTCTTTCAAATACACAAGCAGAACTTTGCTGCACAGATCATAAAACCAGAAAACTCACTGTCACCACTCTCAGTTTCAATAAACAGAGAAGATGGCCAGCTATTTACTAATTTTGTTCGCGAAACAGAATTTCATGATTCTGCTAAGAAACAAATGCAGTCTTTGATGGTGAAATTTTTCTTATAGTCACAAAGTGAACTAGAAAGTTCTTTTAAAAGAATTTTTTCAGAAATTCCGATTTGTAGCGGGATTTAATATTGTCCATTAACAAAAAGTGAAATTTCTGCAAAAAAATGGATAAAGGCATATTCTTTGTTTATGTAACCATTCCGAAATCTGTTTATCAATTTCACGCTGCACTGCGTGTGTGTGGGGGGGGACGTCGCGGTGTGCAATGAACTGGAATTTATTTTATTTGGCTTATAATTCCTTACTAAATGTAGTATTTCATCTTGATGTACTCTGTCTTTGATATGATTTAAATCAAATTCCTAGTCATTATAATTCGCTTACGATAGCGAAGAAAGTGACACAGAGTTTATTGAAAACGAAAAAATTTCGATTGACAAATTAGTCGGTATTCTCGACATAGCAATTATAGAACTTGAACAGCGGAACTTGGTAACTGAACAAGAAATTATGTCTGTTTATAGAATTAAAGAGAAAGTATTATCACATAAAAAACGAAGCAACTTAAACAACTTACATTGAAAGAAATGTTTAATAAAGTAAACAAATAAATATTAAGCTTTTTTTTTGTAAATTTTGATACTCTTTAGATCATAATTGTTCTTTATTTCATAAATTATGGTTTCATATTTTTAGTTTTATAATTTTTGCATGCCATCTTACCAGATTTAAACTGATGATCTATAATCCGGAAAAATCGATAATCTGGAATCGCCTAACTTCCGACGAGTCCGGATTAACGACTTTTGACTGTATATAGCACTATTCTAACACGTATTCTGACACAAAATCGAACTTTTTTTGAAATAACATACAATTTTTTTTACATATTTCAATTCTACGACTCAAATCATGCCAGACTGCCAAGTTTTGTAAAAATCATATGAGTAGTTTTTAAAAAATTAGCTCTCAAAATTTTAGCTCCTCAATGTTAATTAAATTTGGCATATACTCGTATTTATCAATATCTCTTTTTTTTATTAAACTTTTTGGATTTTTCCTTTCACATTTCGAAATTTAAGTTCATTTCAAATAAAATTCACCTATTTTCTGTATTTTATTTTTTAAAATTTCTATTTTTAAATAATTTTTATTAATTTTTTGAAAAAAAATTTGAATTATAAAATGGTTACCATCATCTTAAAGTAGGTGTAGTTCTAAGCATACCTGCAAAAAATTAGAGTTTATTTAAAATTTTCCAAGATATACACGAATTTACATATCTGCGCATTTTGAAATTTTGCACCTTTTCCTAGAGCGATAATAACGCCAAATGTGGGGTATGAATTTTCTTACGATGAATTGCCACAGCTATTTTTAAAGCTTAAATTTCAAATACATTTTTTATGGAGAATTAATTATATGATAGTTTTCTCTCGATGATGAGTAATAAATATTTATTAATACTATATAAAAAGCTACCTTTTTTAAAATTATAGATGATAGTATTCAAATGTTTAATATTTTTTAAAATTTCTTTCTTCCTTAAAAAAAAAAAAAAAAAAAAATTGTAAGAGTAAATTTTTACCTTTCGCCTTGTTATCGTCTGCTACTTTAATTCAGCTGCATTTAAATTGAATTGTCTAAAACTGAGAATGTTCGTTTGATGTTTATTTTCACAATGTTTTTAAGCAAACACAACGTTGACAGTTTGGCTCATGTCCCAGCTTTGAAAAATATATATATAAATATAAATTTTTACGTTAATCATCTTAGAAAGAATGCTTTAAGTAGTAATTTTCTCTCGTGTTGTAGATTATAAAAAACATCTTCTTTAGTATAGAAATTATTAGCTTTAAAAATTCTAAATAATATGATTTAGATTGTTTGTACCAGATATAAGAATCGGGTCACTCGGTGGTACAGGATAAGCGCTGCTGGAGTGGTTTATTTCTTTTTCATTTAACAAAAATCTTTTAACTCAAATATTTATCCTTTGGACTTTGCTTTAAACTTTATTTATAGTTAAAATGTTTAGAAAATGAAAAGCTGCCTTCAGCTGAAATGCATTTGCTGCATCTGATATTTTAAAAATTTGACAAGAATGCAAAATCTATGGAAATGTAACAATCGAAAAATCTTAATTTTCTTGTGTCAACACTGAAAACAAATGCAAAAGGAAAAAATGACATTAGGGGGGAAAAAAAATTAAAGAAGAATCTACTTCAAGGCAGTTGGGTGTTCAAAGAGAAAACATTTATTTGTACATCAGCAAATAACAGTGATTGAGTTTGTGCTAATGGAAAAGACAAAAACGATATAATTGCAGATTAAAGTGATGAGCGACTGGCTTTTGACTGTATGGTTGTATAAATTTAAATTACTTCATAGACCCTCATGTCGTATCATAAACGGAGCATGCCATGATTTCTCAGTCGAAATTATTTGAAGATTCAGGAATTTATCCAGTGGCATATATGGATATCATCTAAAGACATTTTTACTCTTGATGAAACCAGTCTTTCCTTTCATCTCATGCCTTCAAAATGTCTAGCCTCTAAAGACTGATAAAGGCTCTGACCAAATATTGATGAAATGGATTATTAAGTTATGCCAAAGCAGGGCTATCTGCCTAAAAGGAAGGATGCCTTTGTGAAGAACTTTTAAGCGAAACCAGCTTGTATACATGTTATACATGATAAAAACCTTGAAAACATCCATGCAACCAGCCCATTCGCCAGGATTCGAACCCCGGAGCAAACTATGTGTTCAGCGACTTTTCTGCTTGGTCATTAGTGGGCCCTTTTGAAATGGAAGGCGATAAGTTTATTTAAAATTACTATCAGAAATACCAAGATGTTTCAAAAAGTTGAATGCTTTTAATATACTTGAAGAATGCCTCCGGGGGGGGGGGGGAAGGGAGCAAGCCATAAACAAGAAAATTTTTTTTTTTTCATAAAATTTAGTATTTTTTTTTAAAAAATTCTATGATATTTGATTTTTGCAATTTCAAAAATAAAGTATTTGAGTAGAATATGAATAACATTTTAAGAAATTAAATGTAGGATGATAAAATTGTGTAAAGCAATGGGCACAATGTTAAAACTGTTTAAAGCAATGTATGCAACTCATTCTAAATTGAAATGTCGAATATACATATCTCTTATTTATATATCTTTTCTGAATGGAACATTGAAAGGCATGTTGCCTGTGCTTTACTGTATTTTTTCTTTTACTATATGCAGTTTTCAAACATATCATAGTCTGGGTCACAAAGTATTCTTCCGAAAGAAACGCAATTCAAATAAATAAAATTAAATTCTGGAAAATTTATATTAATAAATATATTTAAAATGCGCAGTTTGAATGAATGAATAGAAAATTTTTTAAAACAGTTATCTGAAAAGACAATGCAACACAATTAAAATAAAAGTCTAAAAATTAAAAAATTACCTAAAATAATAACTATGACTAAAAATATAGTATAAAGAAGACTATTTGAAAAAAAAAATAATAATAATAAACGATGCACCTTTGATTTAAATTATGAAGTTTGAATGAGTAAATAGCAATTAAAATGAAATTCAAAAAAGAAAAAAATTGCTTAAAACTAATAACATTTATAATTAAAAATATAATGTAAAGAACATTATTTGAAAGAAAGAACTATGTGACTTTTTCCCCCCCCACACACACAATGTAAAAAGGGAAAGGAAAATAGGTTGGCATATATTAAGAAGTTTGCCAAGTGAACTATTTTTGGTGCAAACTGGGGGGGGGGAAGTGCCAATATAAATTTTTGAATTTCTCCGGAAATTTCGCACCAAATTTTACAAAATTTAATATTTAGGCACAATTTGAGTCGTAGAATCAGAATATGTAAAAAAAATTGTATGTTATTTCAGAAAAAGTCCGATTTTGTGTCAAAATACCTATGTTAGTATAATGCTATATATATATCTAATATATATCCTAAGTCCCGCTTTTGAGACATGAAAAACGCAATTTTAATTTTGTCAATCGGCCCAGTAGAACAGGAGATATAGAACTTTTTTGTGTAGTGTACATGTAATTTTAAACACAATGAAAATAAAATTAATAATTAATGTATACATTATTTGTGTGTATAAACTTAGTAATGTACCATTTACTGAAGTAAAATAAATTAAAATACAAATATTAATTGATTAAACATTGCTTGAATCCTCATTATCAAAATCTACAAATGTCTACAGTAGACTAAGACAACTCAGATCAAATGAAATATAATAAGATCTATAAAATATAACAAAATTACAATTCAGATGAAATAAAGTTTAAAAAATATATTTCTGAAAATCAACAGAAATGAATTTTACATTAGCTTAATTTAAGGTTCATTAATTCAATGAATTTTATTTATTTCTGGGAAATTTCTCTTTAATAAAAGTTAAAAATTAAAATTTGGGAGATTTGGTGATTTACAGGGAGATCGATGGAATCTACCTATAGATCTGATGAAAAACCGAGTCTCCTAGTAAAACCAGGAGATGACTGCTATGTAAAAGAGAAATTTTTCAACAATATTATATAGCTAAAAATTTTGGTATTTTGACATTTAAAATTAATTTCTTCACAATATAAAAATACAATGAACAAAAACTCACTTCTTCTAGCCTTATAACACTGTACTTATCTGCTAAAGGTACATTAGATGTGGTTTGAAATGGCATTCCTACTGACAGACTAGAACTACCTATATATATATAAAAAAAGGTCACATGTTTCAATTATATAACAAATTTATGCATTCTTTCAAGAAGTTAAATATTTTAAATATAAATTAAATCGGCACAAAAACTACATAAAATAAAACCAAAAATGTCATTCTCATGGATTAAAACTGCACAAAAAAATTCAGGTACTCTTATTAGCTATACTGACTTTAGATGTGCTGTTGGTGCTGAAAATTGCAGTAATTTAGGATAACTAAATATTTCCCCAGAGCCGATGCAACCATTATACATTGGAAAGGATTTAGGGCTGGCAAATTTTTAGAATTCAGGGAGACATTGAAAACAAAGAATCCAAATAAAAAATTTTATCAGGTTTCCAGTGCAATTTTGTCAATACAATGAAATAATTAAAAGTGCTATAAAAATTTATTGGCACATTCCTGGTAACCTTTTTATGGTCATCAACAAACTCAGCTCACAATACAGATTTTCGATTGATACTTACCGCACATATTTGGGAAGAAAGAACTGCTTAATCTCGTAATAGCTCAAAGGTTAACAAAGAAGGATTGGCTAACTTTGGAAGTAATGCAATTAGTTTTTCTTTATTTCGGGTAGAAAATATTTTGGCAATAGCTTCTAAAACAACTTTAAAGGGTTTTTTTTTTTTTTTTTTTTTTTTTTTTTTTTTTTTTACCCTGAACTATAACTTTCAGCTGCAACATGAACTCTGGTAAGTAAACTCTAATGCTATCTTGCTGTATCCTTACATTTCTTGTTCTGCCGTTTTGAAGGAAACCTCATATCGCAAAGCGCTTTTCGATTGACTAGAATAAAACTTCATTTCAAGCAAACTGGAACACTAATAGTTTACTTAACAATACATTATACACTTGTAGGAAACTAACAGCAACCCCTTCAATGTCTGGTAGATTCCGCAGACCCATGATTAACTATGAACACGGGAGGGCCCTCCATTCTTTAAACTGTAGCTCTTAAAATTTAGCGATATCATATGGTTGCAATAGTGATTAATTTGTGTTATGGTGTCAAAATTGGCAAGTATTCCCTCTTTTTTTTTTTTTTTTTTTTGTGTGTGTGTGTGTGTGTGTGAGAGAGAGAGAATTTAAGACTTTTTTCTCCATTAACCAGTTTATCCAGTTCCTGGAAAATAAAAAAAGCGTCATCTTTTTTTTAAACATTAGAGAGTACCAATCTATCTTTCTCATTACTGTGAAGGAAATAAAAATAATACATATAGAAATATGCACAGACTATTGAAAACAGTGGATCAGATTAAAAATATTAAATTCATTTGCCAAAAGTTTAGTTTGTCAGAGAGAGACCTAAAGTCAGAAAAGGGAAGGTTCCGTTAGTAGTTTTGGGTGGGTAATTAACATTTAAAAATATGAAGAAGCATAGATAATTTCTTTGATGAGGCAGCAAGAAGACTAGAGGGACATCACACGCACTCATTTGTGAAAACAGAGATGACTACAAAGAAACTTCAGGAAAAAGCAGGCTTTTGACTTTTGATTTGATTTTACTAAGAGTACTTGAGTTTACTGCATACATTTTATTTTTGTTTCATACATACACACCCACACCCACACACACATATATATGTAAGATATAAGAAAATATGATGGCTGCTTTTAAAAACAATTGCACGACCTCAAAATTAATGATTCTAGATTTGGTGCTCTCCCCCTAAACTCATCTCTTCTCCCAAATTCGAGATCCTTCTATGTTACGTAACAACCTCAAACTACAACCTAAGCTTGTCTCTACAATTACATCAGACTTAGTACACTGGCGTAGAATTAATTATGTGATACCATTCCTTTCCCCAAGTGCTACTCTGTCATCCTCTCAACCCTTTGCTTCTCAACTGCCTACACATTTCTTTTTAAAAACCAATGTACAAAGATATTTATCATATTTAATTATGATTGAATAAGTGTCTGCCAAAATAATTGGATATGTGTGAAAATTAGAATTGGTGATTTTGCCTAAAATTCAGTTTTGTTGCCTTCATCTGTATGCCTTAACCACCTGCTATGATGGATATCGAAAGCTGTTAAAACTTCCAATGTTTTCTTCTACGCATTAGAACATTAAATACATATGCATAAAATGAAAATAAAATGTTTAAAAATACTAGAAGAGAAGATTTAGCATTGCTTCTTGGTGAAACTGATGATACAGCAACTGTTGGTTTAACAGTGGTTCCATTAAAAGTTAAAAACGAGGACAGTAAAATTTTTAAAGATAATCTTGAATTTGTAATCAGGTTATTAAACTCAATAGCTGAGGAACGAAAAACTAGAGAAGAAAACTAAATAAAAGCTAGGGATACACTATCAGCCTTAGATGCTCAAAAAGTTGAATTTGAGAAATTAAAATTAGCACAGGTAGAAATAAAATTAGAAGTCAGAACACAGTTAAAGATGGATTTCGTGTGGATAAAGATATCATTACAGATTCAGGGAATTATTTGGAAATTTTGATAAAAGGTATTAAAACTTTAATCATTGCAGTTCCTGGAAGATCAAAAATCTTCACTTAAGTTTATTAAGTTTTTTATTTTTCCAAAAATTAGAGAGAGCATTAATTACCAAAAATGTGCCATAGGAGATCAAATCCAAAATTTTGATTAATGTTTTAGGTGATAAGGTAACTAACATATTATTTTATAATTAAAGATGAACAACTAAAATGTTATGAAACCATTAAAAGTTAAAATTAAAAGACCATCAACCAACCGCTTATGAATATTAATTGAATTTTCGAAAAGTACAATGCCATCTTAAAGAGTTACATGTTCAGTTCATATCTAGATTACCTGCAAATTTCCAGTATCAGTGTCAATTATGTGAAATTAAAGACTTTGATACATCATGTCAACTAATGATTTCAAACGAAATTTTCCAAACGTTAGACAGAGAAACTGCAACTTACATCAATATTAAGAAAAGGAAAAAATGGATTAAAACCTAAAGATTTAGCTAAAAATGTTGACATATATTTTGTAAACAAAGGCAAATAGTTAAACAAAACCATTTTGAATACTAATGAAAATATTGTTAAGTCACCCCAGTCTTCAAGGGAATTGAAATATATCTTGCCTCATATGAGAAACATAAATAAAAGTAAATATCTGCCCAAAGGATGTTACATATGTGGAAAATCGACGCACCTCGCTAAAGTTTATCCACAACAGAACAACCCGAAAAACTAAACACCCCTTTAAAACGAGAAACACCACAGAAAAAGACCGGTTATAAAGTAATAGCAAAAATTGGACCATCTCGCTTAAAACCAGATGAAATTATTATGCAACCATTGTAGAGCGTAAATATTTGCACCACAGGTAACGAAATCCCAGCCATTATTGGTTGTGGTGCTGAAATTTCGATTTTTAATCCAAAACACATATCTAATTTCTCTATTGAGAATAACTGGAATAGAGACATAATTTCCGCTTTTGGGGAAACTATCGCAACTAAAGTAGGTAGCATTAATAGAATTCTTAAAGATGCAGAAAGAACGAAAAATGGATATTTTTTAATCTATCATACCAAAAAGATCTCTGAAGAACAGATTAGTAGTGCTAAAAGTTAGAACGGAACAAATTTTAAAATTAGCAAACATATCTATTTTTGCAAATCATTTAAGGATGAGAAAAACAAAAGAAAGGATTTGTTATTCATTTTACTGGCTAATCATGTCACGAGAAATAGAAGAATTCTGTAGAACTTTTAAGGAATGTCGATAACAAAGTAGAGAAAGAACCAGCGATTGTATACCCATAGTCCCAGTTCGGAGACCTGAAATTCCCTTTGACTCGGTGAACAGAGATATAATCACTTCAACTGAACCTCCATCAGCACGTAAGCACAAGTATGTACTGTGTTTAGTTGACCAACATTCTAGGTGGCCAGAAGTGCTATCTTTGAAAACAATTATGACAAAATCAACACGCGACGCATTATTAGAAATCTTTACAAGAACGAGCATACCTCATGTAATAGCTAGTGACCAAGATACTAATTTTATTGCTGAATTAACACACTTTCATGCTAGATTAGGAGCAAGTCCTAGATTTATGACACCAGGGCATCCACAAAGTTTGAGATTAGTTGAACAGTACAACAAAGCTCTAAAATGTATGCTGCATCATATCATTTTAAACAACACTAAAAATTGGGATAAACACATCCAATACCTGTTATTCACTTACCGAGAAATCCCAAATTTTACTACTGGAGTATCACTATTTAAATCAACGTTTGGAAGAGATGCCAGAGGTCCATTAGGAGTATTAAAAATGTCATGGTCCTGAGAAATTCCACTACCTAAAAAATTGGTAAAAGCACTGTTGAGTACCAACAGGAGCTAAAAATGAATTTATAAAGAGCAGCACAGCAAGCATCTATGATAGCAGAATTGAAACAAGGTCCATAAGCAAGATATGCTAATCGAACAGTAATATATAAAGGATTCAAACCAGGAGATCGAGTACATCTGCTGATTCCAGACTCTAGTAATAAATTATATGCCAGCGGGACAGGACCCACAGAAATAGTAGCTCACTGTAATTCAGATTCTCATAAAATAAAATTGACAGATAAGGAGCGTTCACGTAAATAAAACCAGGAAATTTAATCCAAAAGTACAGGCCATAGGTGTATTATTTAAGAATAAAGAGGAACTAGGAGAAGGCATCCCACACCCAGTGTGAATAACAGATCAGATCATTTTCATCTTTACGAAGTAGAGTTAAGCCATTTAGACGGTGATAAAAGAGATGACATGATGAAGTTGTTGTAAAAATATGACAACTTTTTTATAATGCCAAAGCAGAAGAACATAAAATAAGACTAAATGACACAACGAAAGAAGTCATACATTTCTCTAATTCCAGAAGCACTGAAGCCCCAAGTAGACAAATTGAAGAAATGATGGCAATGATAATCACAAAGAAACCAATGTGGAAATTTCTTAACCCATTGTCTGT